CCAACTGGTCACCAGCGTACCAGTCAAAAAGGCTAAAAGCCAGCACCTAAGCCATCACCGGCGAGAGTATGTGTCTGCCTTGTTTTGAACATCCTTTAAAAGTTTGCATACGTCACTTTAAGCAAAGAAAATATCATTGGGGTATTAAATATTGGTTTTAAACTATTTTTTTTCCTTGTAAGACAATAAGTCTGATATCTTGGACAGATTCTGTATTATATAAAATCAGTGTTAGATGTTCATCTTAATGTGGTTGACTGAATTGTTGTGCAGGCTAACAAGGATTGTTAGAAATTTTAAGTAGTTGCTTAGAATGTGAAATTCAAAAATTATAGATCAGTTCACTTATAGCAGAGCTCCTTTTGGCAAAATGTGTATATATTCAGTGAAGAGGAACAAATCACCCCCACTCTAAAGATAGGAGAGTCAGATGAGCAGAAGACATGGGCATTCATACAGGCATGTGTTTAGACTAACAGCTGGTGCTATTATTAAAAGCCTGCCACATGTTAGGCAAAGTGTTAAAAGTGATTTACATGTTAATACTCACAAGAGCTTTATCAGCTGGGGATTATTAAACCCTTTTATGTTAAAGGGCTCTGAAAAGTTAAACCATTTGTCTGAGGTCAATAGTTAATGAATTCAAAAGCTGGAATTCAGCTCATCTGGAGGTAGTCCGACTTAGTCCATTCCTGGTACCTGGACTCCCATCTTGTTTGTAGTTGGGAGACCTGCTTAAATGTGAATTATTTGGAATTGTAAGAATCAATGACCTTCAAGGCCCTTTGCTGTTTTAGAATGTGGTAAAAATTTCTTGCTTTCAGTGTGGTTCATCTGTAGGAATATTCTTGGTGTGATTGACCTTGGCCTTTCTCCCCCGACCCCTGAAGCATTCGAAATCTGAGATTTCCATTAGGATATTCCCTTGAGGAAAATAAATGTTAAGTGGACAGAATTTAAATCAGATTGATGTATATTGCTGTCATTTTTCTTATTTTTAGATCAGATCAAAAGGAGTGGAAAGAAAAAGAAAAGAAGGACAGAAACACAAAAAGGATAAGAAGCACAAGAAGCACAAAAACACAGAAGGAAGGCTATGGCTGCGGCTGCCGCAGCTACTGTGACCCCTGCAAGCTGTTGCTGCTGCCACAACCACTCAGCACCAGAAGAACCGAGCAGGCGCCAGAGCCTAAGAAGGTATTTACGGACTCTTTTATAGCGGTCTTCCAGGTGTATATACAGATAGCATAATCACTGGATTTTGAGAAGTAACTAAATCATTTTTCTAACATTGGCTACTCATGGTTAGCCCTGTTCTGCCCTGTTTCGACAGGCCAAGACAGTTATTTGCCAGGCCAAGAATAAGAACACAAATGCTGCTAAAAAGCTTACTGTGTTTTTTAAAAAAAATAACTCTGCGCAGGTGAGGTGGGCTGATGCTGTATCCCAGGTGCTGGAGGCCAAGATGGGAGGATTGCTTGAGCCTCAGGAGTTTGGGTTACGTGAGCTATTGTTGTGCACTGTATCCGCCTGGGGACAGAGGACTGGACCGTGTCCCTTTAAAAAGAGTTCTCTGGATGAAAACACCACAAAAAGTGGTAATTGGTGTGGTTTCAGTATATTCAGATTGTGTAGCATCACCACATTGTTTGCTCTTTTATTCAATGTCTCCCCTAGTGTCCAAGACTTAATGATACCAACTTTTGGTTTTTAGGAACGAAAGGAAAGCTGAAGATAACCTTGATGACTTAGGAAAAGCACCGCGCGAAAAGCCTGGAGATCAATGCGAGGCTCAGTGTCCCCACGTTTGGTGGGAAATGTGTTTATGATTAAATTTATTTGTTTGTACGCAATTCAATTTCAAATTGCTTAAAATGGTTTGAGCTTAGACTTAAATTTGTGTAATAATGTAGTTGAAGTTCACCATGTAAAAAAAAGGGCATGGATTTACATTGCAAAGGTGGTCCACAGTGGTATTATGACATCTTTCATTGACAGCTGAATAAAAAATTTCCATTTGGAGAAATTTTAGCCAAAAAATTCCTTTTAAATTTAATGGTGGTTTAAATTGTTGGCATTTAGTTCCTTTAATGCCCTGTATCCCAGAGGTTTTTTTTCCTTTTTTTCTTTTTTTACTTTCTCCTTGAGTCTTAGAACCCATTAATTAGTTTCAACTTGTATGGTTGTAGCTTGCCCAAATAAGACCATGTTTGAACACAAAAAGCATAAATTATATTTATGCCATCATCTTTCTGTTGGCCTGTGGAGTCTCGCTGACGAATCAGGGATTCAAGTGTCTTAGGATGAGGACAAGGAAGCATGTTGTTTGCAGGGACACTGTTGGGTTGTATATGATGTATAACAGTGATTGGAACACTGGTTACATTCTATCTGTTCTGTTTTTGTTTTTTTTTTCTTTCTGTAAGGCAATTAATAGTCGAGAGATCGCTCAGTTAATAAATTGTTTTATGCATGTCATGGCTCCATTATTTTTTGCTTGTCTTCCATTGGTTATACAACTTTCAGAGCTCGTTGTATTTGAAGCTGAGGCCGACTTTGAAAGTGCTTGTTTCTGTTTTGTTTTGTTTGTTTTTTTTTTAACAAAGCTTATAAAGCTTGGGTTAAACAGAATATTTAAATTAAAAGTTGCCTACTTTTACTACTTTCTAATCTATTAGGGGAACATGTCCCTGGCGGCATGTGGCTCACACTGTAATCCTGAAGCACTCTGGGAAGCCTAGGGGCGGATTGCTTGGGGTGGTCAGGAGTTGAACCGCCTGAGCGGACCCTGATCTACAAAAATAGAAATTATGACCAATAATATATATACAAAATTAGCTAGTCATGGTGGCGCATGCCTGTAGTCCCAGATGAGATGTTCATTTTAGAGCCTCATTTGAACTTAGATTTTTATTATCTGGTTACTGCTCTTTGGTGATAATTTGTGCCAGCTTACTTGAATTAAGGGGCACAGTTTTAACAGTATCTGGATACTTTCCAAGAAATAGGATAATGGCTCCTTAGATATTAATGGGGAAGAACTTTGCATTTGTGGTAACTTTAGAGAAAGCAAGAAAAACTAGGGAGAAACTTGTAAAATAAAAGTACATATAAGGCTTTGGTCCTGTTCTGTCTTTCCAGTAGTAGAAAGTTGGGTTACATGTCTTCATTGAAACTTTTTGATCATTAGTTATCTACGTGACCACAAAACCGTAACAGGCCCAGGGGGGGTAGAGTTTCATTGGGTCGCAAAGTGACAAAGTCAGGTCTTAGACCCATACTCTTGACATTAAACTATTCTTGTCTTAACCAGCTTTCTACTTTTGAAGGCCTTAACTGCCACTACATTTCTAAGTATCCTTGCAGAAACTATCCCACTGTACTCTTTATACCTCAGTTTTTGAGGCTGTGTTGTTTCAGGTAATCTCATTAATAAATGAGTGTTTTCTTGGAAAAGGCCCTTTGGGACCAATGAGTAGTGTTTGTAATGGAACAAAGAAGTGGAGGAAACTGACAATAAAAAAATAAACCTAAAAAAGATAAGTTTGTGTGCTAAAGTACTCCTTTCTCAGCTGTAATCACCTCTGGCTTCTGTGATGCTAGCACAGCAGCTAAATATTAAGTGCTTTACAGCATTAGGTTATTGATACAGTTTCTTCTCTTTGATTGACTTACCCCCACCTTCCCCTTATTGAACTACTTTCTATTCTGGAAAGAGATCTCTTTTCTCAGAGCAGTGAAATTAACACTAATGTTTATTGCCCTGCTCCATGGTTTGATTTTGTTTCTCCTCATTAAAAAAGTATTTTAAGTTGTACTAGTAGCTTCAAGTTTGATGCCGTTAGAAATTGCCATCAGGTGTCTAGGATTTAGAGCTGGAGGAAGAATTATTTGGAACTGTGCTTCAGTGTCCTGTCTTTGGAGGGGAAGTAATAGCCTGGTTTCAACCATTTTATATGTAAAGTGTTCAAAGTGAAGTCTTAGTTACCCACAAAGCATAAGCAAACAAATTGAAAATTAAATTTAGTAGTGAATTTCAGGATTTTGTCTATTCAGTTAACAAGCTTTTCTTACTTTCAAAGGGGAACCAAGACCTAGTAAACTTTGGAAAATAATTCCAGGATGCATCAATCCTGCCCTAGGCAAGAAATTAAGAACCGATTATTTGACTATTTTGCATATGTAAGTTTAGCCAAAGGTGGCAAACCAGTTTGGTTATATTTTAGTATTTCTGTTGTGAGGCTGCTATTAGTCCAGTTGACATAATATTTTTCAGGTGTGCTTTTTGTGTTGATTAAATGTTTACGGGGTGCAGAATTAAGGTTTATATAGTTCTCATATACATTTTAACTGCATTATTCCAAGTAGTGCTCAAACAACTTTGATCATTTTTCTTGAGATATAGTGTATTTTGGTAATAGTATGCAACTTTTGAATAGTGGAGATACATCAAAAAATTAAAAGCTTGGAGCAGTGACACCAGATTTGGGTTAATGTTAAGCCACTGGACTATTGACATTTTAAATGTTTGTATTAGAGGCTCTACATATTTGATTCTTAACAATCAGAATCACCTGTAGAATCTTTCAGAAACACCTGGCTGGACCTTAGCCCAGACCTGGTGGACATATATATCTGGTGGATTTATATCTCAGATAAGCTTCCCAGGTGATTCTGATTTGCATCACAGTTAAAAAGCAGTGATCTCAGGTAGTGTTTTCGAACTGTTTTCACCCTGTGTCATGTTAGGAATGTTTATGTCATAAACCATAGTATATGCTTATATGTACTGAAACAAAAATTTCTCAAAACAATATTTACAAATAAAACACTTTGATTATATTACTTTTTTAAAATGTTGGCTCCCATCCAGATTCAAAATGAATAGGTCTTGAGACCTGTAGTTTGAAAAATACTGCTCTTCTTGAAACTGTCTTTCCGGTCACTTAAATTATAAGTGTCACTGACTCAGAAGTAACTCTAATTCTTCTTTGGTTTAGTGGTAGACGGAGGAGAAGTCCTTCCCCACCGCCCACTAGAAGGCGACGTTCACCTTCCCCTGCTCCTCCGCCTCGAAGGCGCAGGTCTCCTACACCACCACCACGACGAAGGTACTTTGTCAAATATGCTAGTTGGAGCTAATGGGAACAACTTTGAATCTTCATGATTATTATATCTTATTAGAGTAGCATTGTTTGACCAGTCATAAAAGACCACATATGATTTCATTTATATTAAAAGTCCAGAACACACAAATTTATAGAGATTGAAAGTAGATGTGTGGTGCCTAGAGTAGGGTGGGAATGGAGGGTGGCAGTGGTTGTATAGCTATGTGAATATACTATACTCATATAGTTATGAATATACTAAAACCATTAAATTGTATACTTGAAATGGGTGGATTTTATAGTATGCAATAATGGTGTTAACTATATTAAAAGATGGTGTGACTCTAGTTAGAGATTACAAAGAGAAGTAACTTCACATTAGGGAATCTCGGCAATACCTCCTTTGATTAAGTAATCAAGGTTAGCATCCCCAATAATGCACATGTAGCATCATGTACTTCCCGTATACCTCTGTAGTATGCTTGCCAAACTAACTTTACAAACTAACTGCTGACCAGTACTCTTTCAAAAATGTCAGTCATGAAAGACAAAACTGAGGAACAGTCACCGATTTGTGAGAGCTGAAGACATCTAAAATCATGGAATCTAAGAAAACCAATGTTTATTAGTAGAAGACTGGGGGTGGTATTGGTATTTTAGTTGATTCTAAGTTAGTACTGAGGGTAATTTTATAGTTTGAATTTTAAAATAAAAATCGGGGGGGGGGGCAGTGTTTTAATGGCATTACTCAGATAACGTTGCCAAGCAGTATGATGGCTGGCTACCACTCTTTAATGCCTGTTACGTGCTGGACAAAGTGCTAGGTATTTTATATTCTTTAACGCTAGTCCTCAAGGTGACCTTGCTTGGTAGGTGGTAGTATTCTCATTTTACAGGTGAAGAAATGGAGGTTCAGAGTTAACTAAATAATTGCCCAAGTGCAATGATGAAACTGTACTCTACCACGTTACTCCAAAAATGGCCTATTACACAGGTGGTTCTGGGCAGGAATTTATTTTGAACTCAAAGTCTGAAAGATCCAAGAACAAATTAGACATTTTAGCCTGAGTTTTATGATCAAGTCTAATTCCTAAGGAGTAAGTTAGGATTGTATAGGAATTAAGCATTAAGAGGAAGACCAGATTGGGCTTTCATGGAGATGTGTGCTGCTCAGCAGTAGACTTCCATTGAAGAGTGGTCTTTTGAGACAGAAAATGGAACAGTTTCTTTGAGGGAGGTGGAGTTATTTTTAAAGCTTGTGCAGTGAACTCTAATTATTAATACAGAGTCCAAACGCCAGTTCAGAGAGGACACCACATAGGAGAGCTCTTTAAAGCACAGACTTCCTGAGTAAGTTGACCATGGTCAATAGAGTCCTGCTAATGTAGTTACCTAGTTATTATATAATGATAACTGCTGTTCACAGTTTCCTCAAAGCAATATAAGGTTCTCCTTTCAAAAAAGAAAAAAACAGTAAATTGATTTCATATAGATTATTTCAAATGACTTGACTAATTTAAATTTTGTGAAAATTGCAAATTCCTCCATTAATCAGAATGTCTTATTTTGTAGTCATCTAAGATAAACAGTTTACTAAGTGATCATTTTACATTATATGAGAATAAAAATATGTCTACTTATAAATATACTCCCTTTGCCTTGTGGTAACTACAGTATAGCCATGACTACTGGTTACTCTTCTTTGCAAACTATTTCCTTACTCTGTTGGGCCTTTCAGCTTAATAATGTGTGTTTTTCCAGGACTCCCTCTCCTCCCCCACGTCGGCGTACACCTTCTCCAAGAAGATACTCTCCTCCAATACAGAGGAGATACTCTCCTTCTCCACCTCCAAAGAGAAGAACAGCTTCTCCCCCTCCCCCTCCTAAACGAAGGGCATCACCATCTCCACCACCAAAGCGTCGGGTCTCCCACTCTCCACCTCCCAAACAAAGAAGCTCCCCAGTCACCAAGAGACGATCGCCTTCATTATCATCAAAGCATAGGAAAGGATCTTCCCCTAGCCGCTCCACCCGGGAGGCCCGGTCACCACAACCAAACAAACGGCATTCGCCCTCACCACGGCCTCGAGCTCCTCAGACCTCCTCAAGTCCTCCACCAGTTCGAAGAGGAGCATCGTCATCACCCCAAAGAAGGCAGTCCCCATCTCCAAGTACTAGGCCCATTAGGAGAGTCTCCAGGACTCCGGAACCTAAAAAGACAAAAAAGTAAAAATATTTTATGCTTTTTGGTTAGGAATACTTACTTGCATAGCTCTTTGTATTTGGATGCTGTTCTTTTTTTTTCCTTTTACTGAGAAATTACAGAAAGGAATAAGTTGTGAATACACGTTTTTAAACTTTATAGGTCCTATTCACAAATCCTGTTCCATTTTCAGGGTAGTTCCTTATGACATAAATTACATGTAGGCTTTTATTTGGTTCTTAGTAGTATCAGGTATTTTCAGGGCTGTGCTTTGAAAATTCAAGGGATACATAGAACAATTCTTGTGTGTGTAATGTAAGAAACTGGCAGTATTAATTTCATACAGGAAACATCAATAACAGAAGTGATAGGGGATTATGGAGCTTTAGCTACCCTCTAAGAGACTTAGGTGGGGTGAATTTAATACACATTAGTAGAATCAACCAGCAAACTAAGTGCTATAGAATTTTTGACCTGGTTGCATAATGTGGTTGGTTATTTTATCTTATGAAGAGATGTCTGTCTTCGATGCTAAATATTCATTTTTTTCTTTTGTCTAGGGCTGCGTCACCAAGCCCACAGTCTGTAAGGAGAGTCTCATCCTCCCGATCTGTCTCTGGATCTCCTGAGCCTGCAGCTAAAAAGCCCCCAGCACCTCCATCCCCTGTCCAATCTCAGTCACCCTCTACCAACTGGTCACCAGCTGTACCAGTCAAAAAGGCTAAAAGCCCAGCACCAAGCCCATCACCGGCGAGAGTATGTGTCTGCCTTGTTTTGAACATCCTTTAAAAGTTTGCATACGGTCACTTTAAAGCAAAGAAAATATCATTGGGGTATTAAATATTGGAGTTTAAACTATTTTTTCCCCTTTGTAAGACATAAGTCTGATATCTTGGACAGATTTCTGTATTATATAAAATCAGTGGTTAGATGTCATCTTAATGTGGTTGACTGAATTGTTGTGCAGGCTAACAAAGGATTGTTAGAAATTTTAAGTAGTTGCTTAGAAATGTGAAATTCAAAAATTATAGATCAGATTCACTTATAGCAGAGCCTGCCTTTTGCATAAATGTGGTATATATTCAGTGAAGAGGAACAAATCACCCCCACTCTAAAGATAGGAGAGCTCAGATGATGACAGAAGACATGGCATTCATACAGGCATGTGTTTAGACTAACAGCTGGTGCCATTTATTAAAAGCCTGCCACATGTTAGGCAAGTGTTAAAAGTGATTTACATGTAATCTTCACAAGAGCTTTATCAGCTGGGGATTATTAAACCCATTTTATGTTAAAGGGGCTCTGGAAAAGTTAAACCAATTTGTCTGAGGTCAAATAGTTAATGAATTCAAAAGCTGGAATTCAGCTCATCTGGAGGTAGTCCCTGACTTAGTCCATTCCTGGGTACCTGACTCCCCATCTTGTTTGTAGTTGGGAGACCTGGCTTAATGTGAAGTTATTTGGGAAAATTGTAAGAATCAATGACCTTCAAGGCCCTTTGCTGTTTTTAGAATGTGTGAAAAATTTCTTTGCTTTCAGTGTGGTTCCCATCTGTAGGAATATTTTTCTTGGTGGTGATTGACCTTGGGCCTTTTCCTCCCCCCGACCCTCTGAAGCATTCGAAATCTTGAGATTTGTCCATTAGGATATTCCCTTGAGGAAATAAAATGTTAAGTTGGACAGAATTTTAATCAGATTGATTATATTGCTGTCAATTTTCTGGATTTTTAGAATTCAGATCAAGAAGGAGGTGGAAAGAAAAAGAAGAAAAAGAAGGACAAGAAACACAAAAAGGATAAGAAGCACAAGAAGCACAAAAAACACAAGAAGGAAAAGGCTATGGCTGCGGCTGCCGCAGCTACTGTGACCCCTGCAGCTGTTGCTGCTGCCACAACCACATCAGCACCAGAAGAACCCGAGGCAGCGCCAGAGCCTAAGAAGGTATTTACGGACTCTTTATATAGCTGTCTTCCAGTGTATATACAGATAGCATAATCACTGGATTTTGAGAAGTAACTAAATCATTTTTCTAACAATTGGCTACTCACTGGTTAGCCCTGTTCTGCCCTGTTTCGACAGGCCAAGAACAGTGATTTGCCAGGGCCAAGAATAAGAACACAAATGGCTGCTAAAAAGCTTACTGTTGTTTTTTTAAAAAAAGCATAACTCTGCGGCCAGGTGAGGTGGCTGATGCTTGTAATCCCAGTGCTCTGGGAGGCCAAGATGGGGAGGATTGCTTGAGCCCCAGGAGTTTGGGGTTACAGTGAGCTATGATTGTGCCACTGTACTCCAGCCTGGGTGACAGAGAGTGAGACCGTGTCCCTTTAAAAAAAGAGTTCTCTGAGATAAAACACCCACAAAAAGTGTAATTTGGTGGGTTTCAGTATATTCAGAATTGTGTAGCCATCACCACAATTTGATTCTGCTCTTTATTCAATGTCTCCCACTAGTGTCTCAAGACTTAATGATACAACTGTTCTGGTTTTTAGGAGACTGAAAGTGAAGCTGAAGATAACCTTGATGACTTAGAAAAGCACCTGCGCGAAAAGGCCCTGAGATCAATGCGGAAGGCTCAAGTGTCCCCACAGTCTTAGGTGGAAATGTTTGTTATGATGTAAATTTTATTTGGTTTGTACGCAATTCAATTTCAAAATTGCTAAAATGTGTTTGAGCTTTAGACTATAACATTTGTTGTAATAATTGCTAGGTTGAAGTTCACCATGTAAAAAAAAAAGGGCATGGATTTACATTGCAAAAGGTGTCCACAGTGTATTAGTGACATTCTTTCATTGACAGCTGACATAAATTCATTTGGAGTGAAATATTTTAAGCCAAAAAAAATTCCCTTTTTAAAAAAGGGGGTTTAAATATTGTTGGCATTCTTATGGTTCCTTTAAATGCCCCTGGCTATTCCCAGAGGGTTTTTTTTTCCTTTTTTACTTTTTCTTTACTTTTTCTCCTTTGAGTCTTAGAACCCATTTAAGTTATGCTTTCAACCTTGTATGGTTTGTAAGCTTGCCCAGAAATAAGACCACTGTTTTGAACTACCACAAAAGCATAAATTAATATTTTAATGCCACAATCTTTCCTGTTGCCTGTGGAGTCTCTGCTGAAACGAATCAGGATTCAAGTTCTAGGATGAGACAAAATGAAAGCATGTTGTTTGCCAGGACACTGTGGGTTTATATTGATGTATAACAAGTTGATTTGGAACACTGGAGTTACATTCTATTCTGTTCTGTTTTTGTTTTTTGTTTTTCTTTCTTTTGTAAAGGCAATTAACTAGTCCCAGGAAGGATCCTTCAGTTACATAAAATTTGTTTTATGCAATGTCATGGCTCCATTCATATTTTTGTCTTGTTCTTCCAATTGGTATATACAACTTTCAGAGCTCTTGTATTTGGAAGGCTGGAAGGGCCCAGACTTTGAAATAGTGTCTTGGTTTCACTGTTTTTGTTTTGTTTTTTTTTTTTTTTTTTAAACTAAAGCTATATAAAGCTTGTGGATTAAACAGAATAAATTTCTAAATTTAAAAATGTTTGCCACTGACTTTTACTTACTTGCCTTAATACTATAGGAAACATGTTTCCCCTGGCCGGGCATGGTGGCTCACACCTGTAATCCTAGCACTCTGGGAAGCCTAGGTGGGCGGATTGCTTGAGGTCAGGAGTTTGAAACCAGCCTGAGCGAGACCCTGTCTCTACCAAAAATAGAAATTAATTGGCCAACTAAAAATATATAAAAAATTAGCTGGGCATGGTGGCGCATGCCTATAGTCCCAGCTACTCCGAAGGCTGAGGCAGGAGGATTGCTTGAGCCCAGGAGTTCAAGTCCAGCCTGGGCAATGTAGTGAGACCTTATCTCTTAAAGAAGAATAAGACAAAGCTAGAGGGAAAAAAGTGTTATTAAGAAAATCATAAGGATGAGTAAATATTTTTACTATTCATTAAGTGGAAGTGGATCGTCATTTTAAAGGTATTCATCTTCGTGTTGAGTAGGGTGAGGAAGAAGAGGAGTTGGTCTTGCTGTCTCTGGGATGCCAGAAGTGGAAGAAAATCCACTTAGAAGTGGATTTGCATAGTTCAAACCCATGTTAAGGGCCAACGTACTTGGATCTATCTAGCTAATCATTCATTCAACCCATTTATTCAGTAGGCTTTCATTCCTCCACTTGACTGTTCTTGTTAAGGTTAGCTAGCTATGCCTTCATTTTTCCAACTGAATGATCAATTCTCAATCTTCGTGAGACCTTAGCAGTCTTGGTTTTGCCATTCATTCCTTTGTTGTATCACATTCTTCACTTAGGTTCTAGGCGACACTAGTTTTCCTCCTACCTCACTATCTGTTCTTTTGTCTCTTTCTAGTGAATCTTTTAACATTTAATTTGCCTTTCTTTGTCCCAGATGGCCTTCCTTACACTTAATCCCTAGTTCCCTTTATTTTAAGTGCAATCTTTATGCTAATGTATCTTGTCTCTTTCCAGTCCAAATTTTTCCCTGAGCTAGACTCCTATTCAGCTACTTTGGAACAGTATTTAGATGTCTAAAAGGCATGCCGAAATTAATGGGTCCAAAATAGGATTTTTTATACCATCCTCTGATCTCTGTGTTCTCCATTTCAGTACCTATCACCATCATTTATTCAAAATTGAGTCATTACTGTCACTGGTCAGTGGTGGTACTGTCCATCCCCTAATAATAATGCATGCACTTGCCATTCTGTTCCCAATAACCAAAGTCAGATCATGGGTAGAGTAGAATCCAAATTTCTTTTCACGGGACTGCAAGGTCTAATAGGATTGGGCCTGATCTGCTTTGGCAACTTCATCTATCACCACTACTATCTATCACAATCTGCTCAATCCACACCGGCCATCCTGTTCTTCCTTAAACCCATCACAGCTGATTTTCAGGGCCTTTGTACTGGGACCGCTCTTCCTTCATTCTGGAAGGTACTGCTGGTCTTATGGCTTGTTTCCTTACTTGCTTTTCCTCAAACACTTCCCTTATTCCCTCTTTTGTTTTCATGTATGGCAATTATTACTACCCAAAATGATAAATTTTTGGTCCCTAGAAAGTTTATGGCTGTGTCCCTAGTGATACGTAGCAGAAGCACAAATATCTGATGAATAATACACTTATTCATACAGTGTCATCACCTCTGTACTTGCCTGACACTACTAGGGTTTGAAGTAAAGAAAGTGAAAAGATGTGATTGCTGCTCTCAAGGAGCATTCGCCTACTGGGTAGGTAGACATGCAAACAATTTGCAGAGTAGGCAGAGTCTGGTAGACCAGGATTTCTACCCTAGCTAGCTAGCTATTGTGTGGTCTTTGATAAGTTACTTGGAGTGCTGCCATTTCCTCCTCTTTACAATGGAAATGATGATGGGATCTGTGTCAGAGTTGTTGAAGATTGAAATGTGTTCATACATGGAAAGCAATGATACCACAAAGAAAGTTTCCTGTTTTAGCTAACATGACACATATGCATTCTAGAAACTATGGCATATTTTAGTTTATATGACTAACAAGGATTTTAGATCATAGCCCTATTTAATGCATATTTTCCTCTCTAAAAGATATAACTGACATGCCATAAAATTTTCCATCTTAAAAGTATGCAATTCAGGGGTGTTTGGAGATTATGCAACCATCACCAATATCTATTCCAGAACATTTTTATCACCTCAACAAGAAACTTTGTGCTCATTAGCAGTCAATTCCAATTCCTCTGACAGTCCCTCCATCTCCACCCCCTGGCAACTACTTTCTATCTATATATTTGCCTATTCTAGACATTTCATTGGAATCATACAGTTTCTTTTGTATCTGGCTTCTTTCACTTAGCATAATGTGTTCAGGGTTCATCCATGTTGTAGCAGGTGTTTGTGCTTCATTTCTTTTTATTGTCGAATAGTATTCCCATGTTTGAATATGCCATATTTTGTTTATCCACTTAATCAGTTGATGGACATTTGGGCTGTTTCCATGTTCTGGCTGTTATAAATAAAGCTGCTAAGAACATTTGCATACAAGTTTTTGTGTTGGCATATGTTTCCAATTCTCTTGAGTATATATGCCTAGGAGTGGAATTGCTGGGTCATATGGTAACTATGTTTAATGTTTTTAGGAACTGCCAGACTATTTTCCAAAGCAGCTGCACCATTTTACATTCCATATCCAATTCCAATTTCTCCATATCCTTGTCAACGCTTGTTATTATCTGTCATTTTTATTATAACCATCCTGGTGTGGGTGTGAAGAACTGTCTCACTGGTTTGATTTGCGTTGTCCAGATGGCTAGTGATGAGGTCTTTTCTTGTGCTGATGTTCCTCAAAGCCATTTTAAGCTGATTTGTTATCTGCATGAGAATATTTCTGAAATTGTGGCTGTAGATTCAAATCCAGGACTGGGCCTCAGAGTCTCTAGAGCAGAGCTATGATGCATTTGTAAAGTGCTTTGTAGTACTTATTTTATGGAAGTACTACAGCCAGGCAAAAATATGTTCCCATTTTATAAAGATCAGGAGACTCAGAGTGTGACTGACTTAAGGTAACTGGTATAGATGCAGGTCTAAATAATATGCCCTTCCTACCATCTGATAACCCAATTTTTTTTCAATATATCTAACTTATAGTATTATGACAATCACTTTAGAAGTTAGAAATTGCATTGCATTAATATTTTGTGGACCCAACTCTGCTCGGTCTTGAAAGATAGCTCCAAGACTCCATAAGACCTTTTGCCTTTAGAAGGCTTATTTTCAGTGTTTTTCATTTGAAAGACCCATGTTAGCTCATAGCAAATACTGCCTTTTGACTCGTAAGTACTCAGTTATTGCTGTGCTCCTAATTGGTCTTCCATGGGAATCTGTTTTCAAAGGAAAGATGAATTGATAGGATTTAAAGTACAGCCTTTTCCAAAGCTCTTGGCAAAAACCTTCACATTTGTCAACATGTAGCAGGTTGGCAGGCTTTCATATTATCAGGGTGGCAAACTTGAATAACGAAATTCAGAAAAGTGTGGAGTTTATTTGAGCTGAAGCTTGAGGATGGCCACCTGGTAGCATAGATTCAAGTTGCCCTGCATAGTCATTCCAAGTAGTAGCAGTTACAAGTGAGTTTTTAAGGAAAAAAGAAGCAGTTCCTAAGTTATTTACCAAGAATTTGCATTAAAATAACATAAACTATTGGTTAGCTGTATATTGTTCTTTGTATCACAAATTCCAGGAACTGGATAATTGATGAGGCAGCTAGTCAGGAACAAATGTCTTTAAACAATGGCCCCTGAGCGCAGGTGTAGGGGGTAGAGCCGAAGTCCCACACTCCAGTCTCTCTGGGCCTGTTACAGTTTGCACACCTCACATAGCTCAGACTGCGAGGGAGGAGGAACTGCTGTGTGCTGATTCCCCAGAGTAGCACCACCTGTGCACAGAGCCCCCTATATCTCTCACCAGATGGTGCAGGAGGAATGAAGGTGACACTTGATGGCAGCAGAGAGTCAAACTCCTCAGCTGAAAGCTACCTTAAGGAAATGTTTTGCAGACTGCAGGTTGAGACTCAGAAGTGAATTGTAAAAATGAATAGGGTCACAAGCAGCATTAAAAGAAAAAAAAAAAGATAATTTGAGTGTGATTGCATATAGTAGGTTAAGTATTGTTTCATGCAGTGTGTGTGTGTGTGTGTGTGTGTTTACTGGGTTGCAGTGTAAAATGCATTCTAATGTGATTCACAGTCAACAAAATGGAAAGCACCTACTTTACAGACATCTAATCTACCAGTTTTTAAACTGTCCTGCAGAGCCCAAAGGGGGAAGTTATAGTTCATGTTTTCACTGTAAAACCGGGCCACTAGCAGTGCCTATCGTTCTGGGGGGTGATGTTACAGTTAATCCTCTTGCTAGTGGTTGGCTCTGCTTTGATTTTTTTTAAAACTTTTGGGCTTCCCCATTGCTTTCTGTTTGAATAAAGGGATCCATGGCCTCCCCAAAATGTGAAAAATCACTGCTCTAGCCTAGCCCTTGTCCTCTACAGATGAAGTCTAAAGAGGGGAACTGACTGTCCCACACACTGGAGTAAAGCCATGGCCCCCCAGGAACTTTCCCACTCTATCACGCTGCCTCAGCTGGCGTGCTAATACAGTCACCCAACTTTAACTTCTCGTCGTGAAAGGAGACAAAACCAAGTGAAATTAGCCAGGTGCTCTGCAGCAGGAGTAGAAGTAGCTTTCAGTGGATATTGGTAATGTGGAAGGAAAAGCCCCATCCAGGAAAAAGATGTGCAAAAATGGTCCTTGTAAGTCCAGAGTCTTTTCCTTCATCAAGACCCTCCCCAGTGCACAGCCAAGCAGGGATGCTTCTGGCATTTTAAGCATGGGGCTTTGGCGTATGCAGCCAAGGGGAGGTGGTTCACTTGACTGGTCTCAGCCCAGCCTGGAAGGAGAAACCCACCCAGACCAGTGAGAGCCACCCAAGCAGCAGGGATTTGCCAAGCATCTGCCAGGTGCTCAGGGCTGGTTCAGGGCTCATACCCTGTGATTT